GCTGCCGTGATTCTAACACAAACCTGCGTAGCTCCGCCCAGCAGCAGCAGGTCTCCTTCACAGTCTGGGAACCTCTGCACTACGTGATCACTGGAATTTGAAATGATTTTATTGTGGGTAATCCTCAGAGCCATGAGGATCTCCGACGAGGATCTGGTTTATCCCAGACTGACCTCACCTCCATGGCCGTTGTGTGAAATGGAGAATTAAAGAAACGGCTGCTGCCAACTTGAGCAGCTCCTTGTCGTTCATCGCCACCAGAACCACATGGGCCACATATGCGCTTCACCTGGCCGGCATAAACAGGAAGTTGTAAATGGGAAGTAGATTCCTGCAAAACCAAACCTGCACCGGGACACAGACGTCCTGCTTCTCTTCTGGAAAGACTTTTATATTCAGTCTCTGATCTTCAATAGTTTTTCACTTTTATACACAGATGAACATTTTGGTTTCTTCAATGTCTGCCCTGCTAACACATTTTATGTAATTAATCTATCAATTCCAGCTAAATTTCATATTCATAAATGCAAACGTTCTCCCAAGAAGCCTCTATTTAATCTGTTTTTATCTGAATTATTACAGACCTGCCACAGCTGTAAAGACTCTTAACTGTTTTATCTCCTGCTCGTCTTTGCTGTTTTTTCAATAAACTCTTAATGATGCTTTAATCTCAGGGATCTGCTGATTGAGTGTTAATTTCCATGATCACAGAAGTGGAAGGAGTGATAAATTATTTCATAACTGAGTTTAGGTTTAGGCTGGAGTGAATCCATGAACAGAACCTCTGACCCAGGTCTGTGAAGAGAAACGGGCCAAAACTCCAGAAAATCTTCCAGAACATTTGTCCAAAGTTTAACAGGACATTCTACTAAAGATGAACTAAAACCCGATTTCTCAGATGACCCTAACAGACTCAAAAAGGAAAAAAATGTTCTGACTTGAGATCAAATCAGGTGAAATTTTTTTTAAATGTGTGGTTTTTGTTTCTGCGTTGGGATCAGTGGAGACGCAGCGATCCCACAAACAGGACTGAACCGAGTCGGTCCAAACCAGGGAGGGCTCAGAACCAGCAGGAGCTGCCAGGTCAACGGGTCCAACGGGTCAGAGCGTTTCCTTCATCAAATGTCTCTCCGCGTTACCACGGCGATGCTCCGGAAGGCCAACGACCCTTCAGCATCCAAAACATCGTCCGTTTCCGAGGAACGTCATTTATGCACCATATGGCTCTGAGTTTTATTATTTATGTTTTATTGTTTGATTTTGAAACCTGACTTTATTTATCCATCATTTTAAACATTTGGTGTGCAGACAAGCTATTTTATTCACTAAAACAACAAAGAATAATTTGAAAATAAATCCATATTTGTACAAACTTGGAAATGTGTTGCAAAATGTTTTAGTAAAAGTTGTGAAACTGCAGAACTTCCTGCAGTTAAAGATGTGAAACGCTCGGCTCTTCAGAGGAAACTGTTTCTTTGCTCTTTTCCTTCGGTTCTCTGTTCCTCCGACTGCTGGCATTAAACCCATTAAACCCATTAAAACCAGCTCCAGTTCCCAACAGCTCAGTGCTGCCTTCATGTTTCCTCAGGTTTCAGCTGAATGTGTCAGTTTTCCTCCTGCTGCAGGTCATCAGAAAAAGGAAGGAGTTCAGAGCAAAGATGGACCCTTTTAATTTAAATTAGCTCAGGATTATTCAGAGGAAATCGCTGTTAAAACTAAACGTCCAAAGTTCAGTTTCTGGTGCAAATATCTCAGTTCACTTAAACAAGACAAAACTAACCAACAAGAAACTTTTCAGCAACATAAAGGAGCTGGATTTAAGTCAAAAACTCCTCAATATTGATGAGAAGTTCCAGTTCCATTTTTTATTTTTAACTTGGAAAAAAGGTTTTATGAATGAAATAATCTGACAGAGGAACTGGTCGTTTCTTTCATAATTAAGGAATTATTGACTTGAAACAAACTCATATTTCTTAAAAATTAGTCTAAGATATTTGCACTAGAAACTAGACCAAAAATACTTGATGAGTTTTAGAGTTTTTACAGTGTAATAAAAGTCAAAACGGAACAAATCAATTTAAAAATCATGATATTTTGTTTTTGAGCTGGTCAATCGTTTCATTAGTTTTGCATTATAACTGTTTGAACTTGCAGGGCTCCATTATTTGGGCTAATTATCTATTAATACTGTAAATAAAAACATGTTCAATAAAAACATGTTCAATAAAAACATGCAGCTGCTGCCCTCTAGTGGTGGATCGCTGCTACTCACTCATTAGCGTAAGGCTGGAAGAAGTTTAGCTAGCTCCATTTGCAGCATCAGGTTTTTTAAAGCTTTCACATCAGAGCGGTCAGACAGGAAGTGAGGTAATGAGAGACAAAGACATGGGTCAAAGGTCATCAGGCCAGCCCTGCGACAGGCGCAGTGAAATGTGGGCTGTGCTGCTGCTGCAGTTTTAGGGTGACTGAGACACACTGGACAGTTTTCCACCAAAACGTCAATCAGTTTCAGGTCTGGACTTTGACTAGGCCACTCCAAACGGCCTTCAGGATGTTCTGGTGTTTACTGCACAGTTCCATCGTTCACTACTTATAAATATCTGAATTATTTTGGCAGGTCATAACAAACCACAGAATTAGATCAAACTTCCATCCATCCATTTTCTTTACACCCTTAGTGGGTCGGGAGGGCTGCTGCCTCTCCAGCCAACGTTCCGGGCGAGAGGCAGGGTCACCTGGACAGGTCGCAGGGCAACACAGAGACACACAGGACACACAACCATGCACACACACCTAGGGGCAATTTGGAGAGGCCAATTAACTGGACAGTCATGTTTTTGGACTGTGGGACTAAACCAGAGAACCCACCATGCACCGAGAATCAACCTTCTTGCTGCAAGGCAGCAGCTCTACCAACTGCGCCACTGTGCAGCCTTAGATCAAACCTGTTTACTAATTTACATGCAGGAATAATTCATAAAACAATATAAAGAAACAGACTTGATTGGCCACGAAGACTTTTTATTGTTGCATGTGCCATAAACACGTTGATACTCGTAGCATCATGTGGAGTGTGACAGGAAACTGCCTGATCTGAATCAGTTCATGTTAGCGTGCTGAAGCTCTGCTAAAGTACAATCCAAACGTTAATCAGTGTGAAAAGCCTCCCTGTGTTCGCTCGGCGCGGCTCCGTCGCCGCAGTCCTCGTGATAAAGTGCTTTCATGCTGCGAGTTTCAGGCAAAATTACAAACCGAGTCGCTGCAGGAGGTTTCCTGAAGCCCCAGCAGCCGCTCAGCAGCGCGGGTTCCCCATCCGGCACAAACACACAGTCTTAAAGAGCCGGCACTGGCAGAACGCGCAGAAGTCGCAGCAAACGTTGCCGGGAGCTTTGCAGCTCCCCCAGAGCGGGACGCAGTTCGGCGGAGGAGGCGGGCGTTTCCTCACAAACTTATTCTGACAGAAACAAAAGGAAATAACAGCAGAGCTCAGATTTAATCTGACACCAGCCACAAAGTTTTACTTCTCTGGTCGAACCACAGAGACGCTGAGGAAGACAGAGGAGACTAAACATTATAAATCATTTAACAAATTCAGCAAACAGAATAGTGCAGTTCAATGACGTGATATTAGAAATAAAATGTGCAAAAAAACCCAGAGAGAGAGAGACATCAGACATAATCAGTAAAACAGACTCTTAATTTAAAATCATAAATTCATTGTTTACACTGCAAAAACACAAAATCTTACCAAATATTTATTTTTTTACTTTCTAGTAAAATATTTTAGTATGAAGTTTATTTAATATAATGTTAATATGAAGTTATATTTCCACTGACAGATTATTTCTCTGATAATATGAAAAAATGTTATAAGTGAAATAATCTGCCAGTCCCTTTTTATCAATATTCAATAATTATTTACAGAAAACAGGCTCCAAAGTCTTGCTGATAAGTTAGTTGTAAGTTAGTTGAATTTTATTTTAAGTGTATTTCGCTATTTTCACTAACATCTCTGTTTTTGCAGTGTTCCAGCTGCACCAACCTTTTTCTGCTTCTTTGCTTTTTCTTTCTTCTTGGAGGATTTGTTCAGCTCTGAAACAGAACATGAAGCTTAAATATGTTGTATTATCGCCTCTGGTTCATATTATAATAACTGGCTTTGGCTTTTATTATGAAAAATCATCACAAAGGATAATATGCTTCAGACACACTGAATCGTAATGAAGATGCAAACACTGAGTTCATATTTACCCACAATAACAACAGGAGGCGGGTCGATCTGCAGGTTGTGAGACAGAGCGTTGGACGCAGCGACCCTATTGGTGGACAGCCTGTCATCAGGGATCATGTGGGCGGAGCCAAGGCAGTACTGCGTTAGCGCGAGGACGCAACAGCCCAGCGGCAGGAAGGTCTGCATCGTTCTCTGGAAGCAAAGGACAAACACATCAACGAGTTTTCTTTCAACAAGGCGTAAGCAGCAACGGCAACATGACTGCACTTCTTTATACTTCCTTACATCAGGTTAGGATTAGTCCATGGCCTAATCAAAACCAGGGTTTCCCCCAGAGTAATATAAGCCTGGCAGCCCGCCATGCTTATAATATATATATAGCAGTGTGCTGCTGCTGCTTGATCTCTGAAGTTTACCTCAGAGCAGATCGACTCCTTTCACTAAAACTGGACACAGGCTGACCTGATGGATATTTACATCAACCACTGTGAGGAATTATGATTCTTTAGAGAACTCCACATCAAGGTAAGAGTTTAAAACGAACCGCGTAGCTCTGGTTGAGCAGCTCAATGTGAACCACAGGAATAACTTGTAGTCGCTTTCAGAGGTGTTGAGGAGCGCTGAGAATGATTTATCTTTGTGAACAAAGAATTATGCGGCGTTTCCACCTCAACACGCTGCCCAGCGTGTGGCGCTGTCTGCCCTGTAAAGTTCATGTCTGTGTCCCGGTTGGTCGGAGGTATATAATATAAAACCAGCGCTTCACACTGGTTTTATATTATATTATTATCTTATTATTTTTCCGGTTACATGATGAATCAAACCATATCAAATTCTTTGTCCACTTAGTCAGACAGAGTTAATGAGTGAGGAGATCTTAAAAACTCGTCCCATAAACTCCAGCAACCAAAACAGTTTCTGTGATTCTTATTAAAAACTCAACAGAAACTAAATGTCAGAGCTGCTAAAGCCACATTAGCAGCATTGAATTAAATCTCCTGTTTGTTGCTCAGTGCAGCAGGTTTAACTCATCCTGCAGGGCCGGTCCAACGCTGCATGAGGCCTGGAGCAGAATCTGACTGAGGGGCCCCATCAGCACCTCTAACAGCTTCTGTGTTGGATTTAATCTGGGAGAGGAGGAGGAGTTTAACTGGCCAAACTAAAAACAATCAGTTATAATCCAGTTTACTAATTTGTATTTTTGGGCAAACACCTCAAACTCAAAGATTAAACTCACAACATCAGATTGTTGCTATGGTAACAAAACAATCTAACTGTGAATATTGTTCTTTGAACTTTTACAAAGTAAACCTACCAGCTCCTTAAAATATTAGAAATAAATGTTAAACAATTTAAAATATTTTCATTTAAGTTGAAACCATTAAATCAAATTCAGCAGAATTGATCATCTCAATAAATAAATGTTACATTCATGTATCTATGTTAAAATATTAGCATTTACGGCCCCTGAAGCCCTGGGGGCCCGAAGGAGCCGCTGACTTAATTTGGATTAAAGAAGTGCAAATAATTGATGTTTATTTTAATTGTATTTTTTGATTTATTGTTTTTAAGACTAGTTGTGGGTTTAGATAGAGTTTCACTGGGGATGTTTTCCCATAACATATAATTACCCAGTAATATTTTTACATTTTCTGTCTATTTAGCATCTTTTAAAACAAAAACATGGCGGACCGCCAGGCAGACAGGTTTACTGGGGGAAACCCTGAAAACCTGTCACTTTAAATCCAACTGAGCAGCTGGCCACGCTCCCAGGCCCCATTACCATCATTAATAAAAATAAATGTTTTTAATGTTTTAACATTTTTCAATAAGACAAAACATAACAGAAAAATAAAGGTGTTTAAATCCCTTTGGAGTTTTCCTTCCTGCAGGTTTTCATCACACAGCAGATTGAAGCTTTTCATTTATTTTCAGTAGAGGTGTGCCGATCGACCGATCACCGATTATAATCGGCCAATTTCCGTGAATTCCCGCTGTCAGACTGCCATTAATCAGCTAGCCAATCAGAACCAGCGTTAGTCAGATAGCCAATCAGAACCAGCGTTAGTCAGATAGCCAATCAGAACCAGCGTTAATCTTGATTCAGTAACTCATGATTGTTTATTTTGATGCTTTTGGCTTTAATGATTGTTTCCTTTTCTTCTTGACATTATTTGATATCTTGTGTTGTGAGATTTATTTGGCTCCTGTATAATTTATGGCTGAGAGCCTTACTGTTAAATATTATTGTACTGATTGCAGGTTTTTCAGTCCGTTTGACTGAACAGCTGCTGTTTTGTGCCTGCAAGTATTTTGCATGTTTTATGTCTAAATTAAGTGAATTTATTACCAGAACATTTTTCCATTTTGCCAGATCACATAGTAGCATTTATACCTAAAGCAAAACCTTAACAGGCGATTCTGATCGCTGATGGGAATCAGCAGGAAGTAACCTGATTGGATCGTCCCTAATTATTATAGAAATATTCTCTGAGCTGCTGCCAATTTTTGTTTTCACAGAAATCATTCCTGACTTATTCTTAAGGCTGATATTAAATATTATTGACAACTGATATTCACTAATATTATATCATCTTTGACTTCAGCACTATGAATAAATTATTTCTGCTTCTCTTAAACATCATCTACCTGTGCTAATGTCACATGACCCCCCCATCGCCATGGAGACATGAACAGGGTCGTTACCCGGGCTGATGAAGGTAAAACCTGCTGCCTTCTCTGGCAGCGCAGCAGATCAAGAGGTTCTGAATCTGCTGCAGGATTTACGGTGGGATCTCTGACCGGTGGCAGAGACCCTGACCTTAACCCCTGACCTCTGACCCATCACTCCGAAGATGAAAACTTTTATAAATGATGAGACAGGAGGAGCTGCAGAAACATTCAGACATCTGGACTTCATTCCTGCTGCAGCCGCAGATCGGCTCACAGCAAAAAGAAAGATGCTTTAGAAATAATGAGATCCCTTAGATCTACTCTGGGTCAGACAGATTTTACTGAAGCACTGATCTCAATCCTGCTTCAAACGGAGCCTGAACAAACTCAGCCGGCCAACCGGGCTTCACTTCTGAAATAAATCTGAGATTTTCTGTTCTCTTTGCAGTCTTATTATTTTAAGTGTTGCTGGTTTATTAGCAACACATGAGCTGCACATGTTCTGTTTGCCAGAAAATGTTTTCATCCTGCAGCTGTCAGATTCAAATTGCTCCATATTTATTCCATCAATGTGTGAAACAGAAAATTATGACAAAATGTTGCTAAATTGGAGGCTTGACAGGATGAAAAGCAACAAAAATAATGATTTCAGCCCAGAGAGAAAAAGCTTTTCATCCTGGAACAAACAAGGAACACATTGTCTGATTCACATCAGAAAACATGAAGACAATAATAAACATATTCATATTTATGCACTTCACCAAAGATTTCAGCAACATGCAAATAATAACAGAGAGAAAGAGAAAAACATGTTTGAGTTTTAGATGAACAACTCACTGACCTAAAATATGAAGTAATCAAAAGTGGGATCATCTTTTTATTTGATCTATTCCTGCAAACTCAGAAAATGTAAACATTTCTTAAAGTTGTACTTTTTTCTGTTTTCTCCACATTTTACTGTAGCAGATGAATAAAAAACTAAATATTTTATTTCTGCATCTATACCAAACATCCTCTCACTGCAGCTCTAAAAGACAACAGAGACTTTTGGATTGTGGGAAATGTAGTTAAATGTCTAACAGTTCCAAAAAGAGAAACTTTTATCTGACCTGATGGATCTCAGAGAGAATCGAGTTAAATATCAAATTCTTGGAGATGCAGTTTTGAGTTTTGAAACAGATGGAATATAAATACCCATCACAAGATTTTTTATTCATAAAATAGTTTAAAAAGTATGCATTATTTCCCTTTTCCACTTCTTGATTATTTGCTCTGCTTGCTGTTATTCTAGAACATTATGGGAATAAAACACTGTAGATACTGTTGGCCATGTCGATCCTAACAGATATTTGCACAACATTAAACTTTGGATCTGATCCTCTCAGAAACTTTTTGGCCAGAAAACACTGATAGCAGTTTTTTTTTTTTGTTGTTGTTGTTTTTGTATTTTCAGAAATAAAAACACTGATTTCCAGTTTGAATCTTCAACTCACTGAGTTTTCAGATGTGTTTCACTGTGACCTGCTTCTCAAAATTAAAGACAAAATGAAACGATATGTAAGAAACAGTCAGATTGTTTTCTTGTTTTAAAATAATCACCTGTTTGAATCAGATTGTGTGAAACATGAACTCCCATCCTGTGTGAAGTGACCGGGTTTGTAACTTCAAACTGATTTATTTCTCTGTTTCCATCCGGCTGGTGTGATGCCAGAAAAGTGTTTTCATTGCAGTTTTACAAAATAGATTCAATACGGCCAGAAAAACCACGTCATCCAAGCACAAAAACCTTTTCTCAAAAAACCTGTGTTTTTTTTTTGTTTTTTCAAAAATGGCTTGTTTTTATTAAATGACTATATTTTTTTAATTTTCAATTTGCACAATTTTATTGTAATGGACACACAACTGGTGGTGGAGTCATTCAAAACAGGGAGAAGTCGTTAGCCTAGATTTTCCACAAACAGATTCTGATAAAAACCAAGAAAGTCGTGTTTTCTGAAGGACGTAGCTCTGTGTCAGCTCAGACGTTTAGAAACTAGAAGCTGCTCTGTAGACGACTGAAGGACAAATATCTGAAAGTCAGAGACCTGACAGTGGTAAGGCAGCTTATACTAATGAAACGTAGCATATTAATTTAACCGTGCTGAACTTATAGACGTGAAAAAGTCATCAGGCTGTGACTGTATGTGGAAAAAGCAGCTGAAACATTTGGAAGCTGTTTCAGCTGCGCTGCAAACATCAAGCAGGAATGTTGGAAGCAGCGTCCGTCTGTCTGTCTGTCAGAAAGCACCTGACAGCACCTTGACCTGCATCTGGTTGGACTTAAAGCTTCACGTCTGGCACATAACCCTGAGGCACTCCACTCTAAAGTGGGTGGTTACATTTGGAAGCCAAATGATTTAAAGACATAACTGCTTGGAAAGATGACTAAAAATATTTACAGATGTGAGAAAATAATGGAGCGTAAGAGGCAGAGCTTTGTGAAGCTCTCTGGAAAACATCTGAGGCGTTTCAGTTCAGCG